TCACATCTGTGCTTGTCCTCCTATGGCTGGATTATCTCTAAGAGATCTCAGCCATTTGAAGGATCCATGTGTTTCCCCCGTTGTTCGAGGATCCAGATTACATCCCCTTCCTTCCAAGCAAGCTGAGGGAATGGTGCTCCATCTAGGATGGAAGTAAAAAGCTCGGCCGGCAAAGCAATGTCACCTCCAAAGTTCAAATGCCATCTTTGGCATGCCTCATCTGTTTTCCTCCTTGAAGGGAGGTCCGCAGGATTGCAATACGATGCAATTCTTTCATACCAAAGGTAGCATGGCATAGCGCCTTCCAAACAGGAGCAGGCATGGGCCATCCGAAAAAGTGGGTCAGAAGGTGATCGTCCCTTGATCAAACAGTAGCGGCAAGGTTCGTTGTCAATGAAAAGAATGGCCCTGCGGCCATGCAAAAGGTGCCTTGCCTGCCACCTGACACACAAAACTGCATACATCTCGATCTGACAAATAAGTTGTTCGCCCACTAAGCCATGCCAGGCATCCAAAAGAAAGGAGGGCACTGTACCCGAGTAGCAGGTTCTAGTCCCTGTGGCCACATCGAGGAGGATCGCTCCCCAGTCAGCTAGACCATCTCCAAAAGCTCCGTCAGTGTAAATTATTATAGGTTGGAGAATATCTGCTGAGGAAACCTTTCGGGGCTGGAGGGACTTAAGGACCATCGCTGTATGCTCACATAGGCTCGCTAGGGTCGCTGGTTGTAACGTTACCCCCATTGCTAAGGTCGAAAACCCCTGCGCTGCAGGCTGTAAGGCTTTGCCTAGTGCAAACCCCGAAGCGAAGTTCAGTAGCCCATGTATGGATGCAGCAGTAGCGCTTGACACATGGCCTTCCTGGGCCACCTGTTGAACCATACGTTCCATCCGCGCCAGTCGCTCCGGCTTGTTACCCACAGTGAAGAAGGAACTGTGGATACCAGCCAAGTTGTATTCTACACCCAAAGCAGCAAACGTTGGAGAGAAGGGTTTGGCCTTCTTTCCTGTGACAGCATGCCTCCAGCCAAGCAATTGGAAAAACCCGCATACCACCTGGGTGGTGTTCTCAGCAGCCATGGCAAACTCTAAGGTGGGGTAGTCATCGTAAAAGTTTGTGGTCAGTACCCCAAAATCCTCCCAAAGCAGAAACTGTAGTGCCCTGGCCATCTTGTTGAAACTGTAAACACTTGCAGTAGAACCAAAAGGCAGTGACTGTCCTATGTAGTAGTACCATTTGCCACTGCGGTCACGGGCCCCCAGCACTGAATACCTAAGGCTTGCTACACTCACCGCCAGTTGCTTGTAGGCTTTCGACAAGTCGAAGCACCTGCCCAGAATGGCCTCTCCAGACCTAGCAGCTTGCGAAAGCTTACCACGCAAAACAGTGCCGTCCGAAAGTTGGATGGCTATTTGTGGGCCTTCCCGCAACAGGCGCGTCAGGAGAGTTATTAGAGCGGCCAAAACATCGACGTCCTGCAACTCCAAGTACGACCTGGAAGCCAATGCAGAGTTCACATGGCTCCGTCTGTAATCATCTATGATGCGCTCCTTTCCCTCATCGCCCTGTATGAGCAGGAATCGCTTTGTCAAAGTCCAACATGTAGTACCCAACTCCGTGGATACCTCCTCTTCTGAAAAGAATGGTCCTTTGAGAAATTGTTCATCCACTTCTTCCTGCGACAGCTCAACGAGCCGATCAGCGTAGCGTGTTCACGTTCATGGTCAGCCAGGGGTCGGCCTATTGTTAGTCTCCTGTGCATAGGAGCGGAAAGGTCTAGTTGGCCAACTGTCATGGAGGCAGGTTGCAACTTTTCTTTGAATAACTCGGAAACCGGTTCTTCTCCAACCAAATCAACCCCTTCCAAAAAGTCATTCATCACCCTCATGTCTGGAAATGAGTTGGCCTTCAAACGTTCTTCAAAAAGCAGGAGGCGTTTGCCTTGAACAACTCCTTGGACATGTGAAGGCAGCTTTTTGTGCAACTCCGCTTCCGCAACACGCAGGTCAGCCGCTCTGTCTCTGTAGAGCTTCAACATTTCCAGGCGCTCTCTGGCAAGCACTGCCGGTTCTTTGGTGAGCATGGAAAACAGGGTTTTCTTGAGGGGGTCAGGCAGCACAATTGTAGTATCCATCGGGTGACAAAGCTGCAGCGCTCTTGCAATGTGAGCTTCCGGTTCCATCCAAACTCCTACCTTGAGGCCGCACCCCACAGACTGCGTTGTTGCAGCCACCTCAAGTTCTTCCCCCGCTGTTTTAGGTGGCAAGGGCTTTTCATTGGCAGCTGGTTTAGCATCCACTGGTAGCCAATGGAAAGCCTCAAAGTCAGGGACCAGCTGTTGCAGTGCACGGTGTTGTCTTCCTTGCGCCTGCAGGCTATCCAGGCGCAGTTGCTTCAGGTTCAGAAAGGTGGGCCCCGACGCAAGTTTCTGTAGAATGCAGGCTGCCATTCGCCTAGCAAGGACCGCTGGGTATTCTGCTTCTGCGGCTGTATCACAAACCCAACCCCGGTCATCGAGCTTTTTGGCAGACCAAGGCTCATGGCTATGAGAATGGTCACAACGCACTGCGAGGTCGTTGAAGACGCCCGGAGAGCCTAGAATTGTAGTGCTCTTGTTGCGGGTTGAGCCATGCATGCACGCATCAAACATTGTAGCTTCCAGTGAAAAATACCATTGAATGAACCCCTCATTGGCGGTCTGCTTGACTAGGATGGCCAGCAGAGGCCATAACCAGCTGCGCGCTGGATTTTCTATCGAAACAACACATTGCAGCATGTAGCATGTTATCAGCAAGGTTATGGCATGCCTGTAAATAGTGTTGGCCTTGTCGACCTTGAGCTTGTCAGTGGGCGATAAACCCGGCCGGCCAAACAAATGGGCTTCATCTCGAAGCGGTTGAGGTGTGGGGGCCCCCTGCTTGCGCAGCTCTTTGGAAACCTGGTGTTCTCTTGCTCTGCTGCATGTGCCGCACATGAGTCCAAAGTGGACTGCATCAGGTTTCACAAATTCTAGCATCTGATTTGCCACAGTGACTTCGTCCTCAAGGCTCAGATCTATGGAAAAAGTTGGCACCTTTGGCGTGAAACGATTGGCCTGGTGGTCAACTGCGAAGACTTGGCATCCTGCATTTTTCATAGCCAGGGAAAAAGCACCCGACCCTGAGAAAAATTCAATAAACGTCGTTTGTCGTTGATTGGCAGGTTGCGCTGTGGAGACCTGTAGTCAGTGGTCGCATTGGTTGTAAGGCCGCTTGGCTCCACACTTGAAACATTCGTGGACTCCAAACTTACATTTGCTCTCCTTTTGGCGATTGCACAGCCCCCATTGATATTTCAAACAGCGCCATCCATTGGTACCCTTGCGTTGGCAGTCTTGTGGCACTTTGCGCCAGTTGGTGGCGCCGGGGGGCTGATCGGAGGTCTTGGGCGTCGGCTTTGCTGGTGCCGATGGTCCTCCCGGGCTAGGCTTGGGCTTTTTAGGCCCGGGGGTGTCTGCATGATCGCTGGCATCGCGTTTGGCACTTGGCAGTGGTGTCAAAAAGCATAGAACCTCAGGTGAGGTGGTGATCTGCTCGATGAGCACGTCCAGTGGTCTTATATCAGGTGCTGCTGGCTGCAACCTCCCCCTGGAAAGCTGAGAGAGTTGTAGCCACATTTCCTTGTCGCACTCGCAGATTTGCTGTGTGGTGATGTATCGGTATCCAGATGGTGGCTCCTTGAGCTTGGCCAGCATCAACTTTGTTGTCCACTTTTCTAAAACCACGAAGCTTGCAAGGCCGGCCTGATCATAGGCCAAATTCCTTCTTGTCCAGGCGTTTCGCAGGTTGAGATCGCCATTGGTGTCGCACTTGAGCTCCTCTGCTTTCTTACCCATCCGGATGTTGCCACCTGAGTCAAACGTAAGGGCAACTTCATGCTTCTCCTGGTGGATCTCCTGAACTCTGCTGACGCAAGCATGTGGTGGAATAAACAATAAGGCTCCCTCCTCTTGCATTGCTACGATTTTGTCAACCAACTTATGGGATGGCTCCAACTCAGCCGTCCATGTGACACCTACCAGGTCGCCCTTTTGACGCTCGATCCTTGCCATGCGCTCTGCAAGTGGCATGGCCCTCGGTTTATCATCTGCTGAGCGATCGATCCTCGCCTGCATGTCCGAGGCTGCATAAGTTCGGCCTTCAAAGTATAGCCGTCTGCACAAAACCATCTCCTGAGGAGTTACAGCACGTCCCAGTAAGGCTTCCACTGCGGTCTGAATGGGTGAGTCATCCACACTATTCTGGTCGCATTGGCAGCAGAAAGCCCATTGTCCAAAGGTGTCCAAATTGCACCCTTGAAGGTCCACCAAAAAGCCGTCTGGCACTCCAATTGCACGTGCCCGTGCTTCCCATGCAGCTTTGGATTCCAGTGAAACCATGGCAAGACCGCGCCGATGAGGGGGCAAGCAAAGTTTGTACTCATGGGCAAAGTGGTGATGAATAAAACTTGAAGTCGTGAGAATCCAAAGGCGTACAAGTGATGGTCACATGAGAATCCTATGCAAATAAAATACTTCTGCTCGCTGATCCTAGACATCTGTTTGGATTGCGACTAGTGCCGCCTCAAACTTGATGCACAAGGAAGTTGCGGTCAATTGAAGAGATTCTCAACTCACAAATTCTTGCACTTTGAGTTTTCGTTTGGATTGTGATCAGCATCACCTCAAACTTGCAGTGCTCTGAAAGTGAGTTTCAGAAAAATTAAACAATTGACATATACTCGTCACTGATCAGTGTTGTCAGTAGTTTGGATTGCGACCTTGCCGCCTAAAACTTGGTGTAGTGACCACTCAGAGAGGACATGTTGATTCCATGCAAGTGCATATAAATTTATATACATGTAAGACAAAGAAAAATAAGAGGGGAGGATAAATGATGTTGGGCCCATAGCAAAACCTGTTTGGATTGCGGGGTCACCGCCTCAAACTTGGCTGCCTTTGATCTCCCTCTTTTTTGTCGCTCTCACGGCTGTGCCTTGTCGCATTGTTGGCACACCAGCAACTGGGCCAGGTCTGGATCACCCTCTTGCCACTGCCGATAGTTTCGTGACAGCTTACGACCGCACCACAGGGTCTGGTTGTCTCGTTTGACATGAACAACCAAGGAGTCTCGATGCACAAGTTTTGGTCCAGCCACTGTGTTAGCTGGTGTTGACTGGTTCCCAACAAAGTTGCAGCCTTCCACAAAACTCTCCTCTTCTGAGACATCGGACTCGGATGCTGCCCAATCACCCGGTGGCTGTGGGGGCTCTTCCGGCTCCGGCAGAAGGTCACGGTTCTCCTGAAAAATTCGAGCAGCATTGGAATCATCTGGATTGAATTCAAAATTGCGAATGGCTGTCAACATCCTGAAAACTCTTGAATGCAAGGCTGTCAAATTGTCTCTTGAGTATGACAGTGGCATCAAAGCATTGGCATCCATATGATGCGTTAACATGCGACGCTCATCCATGGAGAAGCCCCCAAACTTTCCAGCCCAGGTAGGAATGGTCGCCTTGCAGCTATGTGTGCTGTACTTCGCAGCCTGTACTGGAGTAAGGCCGGAACGCACAAGCACCTCTCGCAGCCACAAGTTGGCTTCAGCTGTAGTGATACGTCGTTTCAAAAACTGCCCTGAAACTTCCGAGAAAGCAGGCATGATTGTCTCGGGTTGCATTGCTTTCAACTGCATTTCCCACTTGATGCACCATGGATTGAGATGAAGGCCCCAGCCAATGGCTGTAAAAGGCAGCAGCATCCTGCGTCTCTCCATGGTGTTTGTGTTCTTTGCTTCTGAGGTCGCAGCTTCCACCAGAAAGATGTCGTGGTATCTGGAAAATTCTACCTCCCTGATCTTGGCAGCGTCCCCAATGCGGCAGCTTGAGAAAATGCAAAAGAGGATGAAATTTGTAAACATTGAATCCACCCTGTTCTCCGCATGCAGTGCATACTCTTCCAGGGCTCGGACAACGTCGGCCGGGAAAGGAGGAGCCTGTCTCAGAATCCTTTTCCTCAAATACAAGTCCCTGCGCACACCTGCAATGCGTGACGTGAAAACTTTTGGATTGAAATTAACAATGTTGGCAGTGGAGTGCATAAACCAAATTGCTTTGACTGTTGCATCGGCTAAGGTTGGTGCAGCATTTGTTTCCCTCAAGAAACTCAAATATCGATACACCACACTCTCAGTCAGTTGCATTGGTTGCAGACCTAAATGCTGATTCATCCACAAAGCCATCTTGTAATAGTCTATTATTTCCAAAGATTGAACCGCTTGCAAAACACATAGCACCAAAACGTCGCGTGCGTAACATGTAAAAATTCATGTTCGCCAAAACTTAAAGAATTAAATTCGCTGGAAATGAAACTGACAGCTTGAAAAAACGATGACAGCCGAGCACATCTTTTTAAACACATAGCAGTGAGGTCAGTCCTTTCACGCCCCGCCATAGGGCTGGGGGTGTGGCAAAAGAAAATGGTTGCAAAAGGGTTGGGAAAAAGAAGGGCGGGAAATTGCAACCTCTAAGAGGAAACAAATTGGGAGTTCCCACCCACCTCACCCTTAAGCCAGAATATTGCCATAAACAAATATTCCGATGAGAACCTTTCCAAATGGTTTGGAACTGTTTTCAAAATTTTTGGACATAAAATAAATGTCCATTTTGTTTTGGTGCGAGTAAGATATTGTGTTTTTACAGCTAACTCTTTGTTACACAAAGAGTTTCCAAAAATTGGAAATAAGGTTTTTATCCCTCCGGGAGTCAAAAACTTATTTCCAAAGATTGAACCGCTTGCAAAACACATAGCACCAAAACGTCGCGTGCGTAACATGTAAAAATTCATGTTCGCCAAAACTTAAAGAATTAAATTCGCTGGAAATGAAACTGACAGCTTGAAAAAACGATGACAGCCGAGCACATCTTTTTAAACACATAGCAGTGGGGTCAGTCCTTTCACGCCCCGCCATAGCCCCATTCTTATCTAAGGCGTGGAAGCATGAGTCCGCTGACTTCATGCCATGGCACTTGGTGCAAGGCACACCCAGAGTGATCACAAGGTCGAAATTCATTCGACTGGGTCTGTCACTCAAATCGCTATGTGTCGGAACTCGGCTGAACCACGTCTTAAGCTCCAGCTTTGACTCATAGGCGTAGAAGTTTCCCACTATAACATCTGTTAAGCAGGTTACTCCCGAACCTTTGATCAAACCAGCTTTTTGCAGCTTCGTTGTCTAGGTAGCACATTACCTGACACTGCCACAACTGAGAACCCCGTATTATCACTGAGAGTAAAATTGGAAGCAGCTCTACTTCGTGAAGGGGTGTTTTGATTTGCTGTAAAACAGCGCCTGCAAATCACACGTTAACTCAGCTCCAAAGGCGCAAACTGTCGATCCCAATGGATTGACAAGAACTGCACCTACTGTAGCTTTGTCTTCGCAGGCACCGTCTGTGAAACATATCCAGGCGGAAAAAATTTTGGTTTAAACTTCCATTGGACGGCTCGACCGCACTCGTTCAAGCAACCGTTCCAGTGTCTCTTTGAGCTCTGGAGGCATGCTTTGAATATGTTTGGTGTTTGTTACAAACCTGCCTAACTTGGCTAACAGTACATTGGCATGTCTGCTGCAAACAAAGTTTTCGCACCAAAGCAGCCTGTCCCTTAGTCATTCAATCGCCTTGGAAGCGAAGCTTCTGTCTCGTAACATGTCCTGCAACAAAGTCGTGAGCTCACTCCTGCAAGTTTTTTCCGTATGGTAAAGGTTGAAGCATCCTTGAGGTACGCTCGTGAGCTCAAAAACAGCTCCCAGAGATCCAAAAGTTTTGTCAAACTCAGTGGTTTACTTGCCTTCCTTGGCAAAAAGACTCCCAAGCACTCAGACAAGCACTCTGCTCCCCAGGCACATTAGAAGCGTAATCGTCCCCGCAGATCATGGTGTAATCGTCGTAGAACCAAGTCCACTCCAGGCGCATTCCATCATCCCTATGAACCAAAGAAACATAGATACTCGCAAAAGGCTGACATACTTCTGTTTGCTCCAAACAGCAACGCATTCACCATGAGCTACACAAACCCCGAGGTGGTAGGGCAGCAAGTGGCAACACGTATTCGCCTTCAGTAATTTCTTTTTCAGTCTCTTCCCAAGTAGCTGTTACCACCTCAGAGGTGGAGGATGCCATCACTTTGCTCGCACTCGCTCATTGAGCCCCTTGCTGCGGGACTCCAAGGTTTCCACACTCGAATCGCTAAGCTGCATTGATGTCCAGTTTCAACTGCTCTTTGCATGAAGTTCAAGGGCTTCCAGCTGTTCCAGTTCAACTGCTCTTTGCATGAAGTTCAAGGGCTTCCAGCTGTTCCAGTTTTTTCTCCACCATCTGCTTTTTGCCTGTCTGGCAATCGCGTCCCGCACTTCACCCAGCTCATAGTAATGGCGCTCAGACGCCCCACTGCCCATGCCTTTCAGCTGTTTCAGTTTTTCTCTATCATCCGCTTTTTTCCCTGTTTGGCAATCGCGTCCCGCACTTCACCCCCTGTTGTCAAAAGCCGCGATTGTAGGGATGCCCCGTAAGGCAATGCTTTCATGAAACTATGTAACCCATCCTCGGATTGGACTGAGTTGATGGCCGTCACGTATGATCCATACTCAGAGACAAGCGGTTTGACATGTTTTCCACGTATAAAAGCACCTAAGACAACTCGGTTGAGGCTTTTCCCGCGACCTTTGACCTGTTTGGTCAAATCTTCAACATCCAAAGCGCCTTGTTGGAGCATCTCGTCCTTTAGCAAGAGAGAAATTCGATTGCAGAGAACTTCAGGGCAGGTCGCTTCTGAATGGGTTGGGAACTGAACCTGGCCATCGATCATTGTAAGCGTCCTAGGTGCATGTGTATGTTGTTTGTTGCAACAAAACCTACAAACAGTCAAACCAATCGACAATCGTGACAAAACAGGTCATTTGTCACGTGACCCTCCATGTGCACGATGTGAAAGCGAAGTGAACGTAGGGCGGAAACATGGAAAAAGGCCTTCGGAATGGTGATGTTTTCAACATCAAACCGCTGAAGATTCTCTATGCAAATTGCACTCGACAGTTCAATGGCTTCTTGAGCAAGGGAAACGGTGTTTTTTCATACAAAATGCTTGCCGCTCCAGTTCGCAGCTGTCACTACCACTCAACCAGTTGAAACCATCTGGAAACTCATCGTTTCTCAATGGTTTTTGGTTCTTTGATGTGGTGCGCTTGGAGAAATTTAAGTCTATTTCCCCTTGCACGGCTCGAAGTCCCACGTGGAAGTGCTATGTGTATGAAAGGTATTTAATTCGCTTTCAAGCGAATAGAAAACAAGAGAAACTGAACCTCTCCTTTGTTGGAAAGGTCTGCTTCCAAAAATGACCCGGCCTTCAGACCTCTTGGAGGGCTTGTCAGACGCCATGGCATGAAACCTTTTTGTTTCATGCTTCTGGTCAATCTCGCAGTTCCTGCAAAAAAGCTCTAAGACATAGACGTCTCCTAGCTTCCAGCCACAGTGTTTTTGGCCTTCGTGGACCGCCACACTTGGCTCCTCACCAAGTCCCTTCCTCCGCATTTCATCACAAGGCTTCTCACCTTTGATCTGATGCATTGAAGGTGGCTTTTGCTTGCATCCCGGTGGCTTGCAAGCGTTGGTAGAAACTTCAGAGGGATTCACTTGTTCAAGTTTCCCAACATCAAAACTGCCGTAAAACTTTTCAAACGAATTCTGGCAAAATGCCTTACCATGCTGTTGCAGGCCAGTGTCAGAACCTAGTCAATTGGTGGCCCGCTTCTTCAAATTGCACACAAGCTGAGAATGGTTTGCCTTGTGGCAAAAAGCACACACATGCAATCCCTTAGCACACTTGGCGATCTTGGAGCCGCTTATCAAGGTCGCTTGGCACCCGCTCTCCATGTTAAATGACCAACAAACATTCTGGCCGTCTTTGGTCACCGTCTCCATACCTGCCAAAACTTCAGGTTTGCTCCTTTCGGCCTTTTTGGTTGCCTTGAACTTCTTCTTCGGTTGTGGCTTGGCGGCTGCCTTGACTGACGTGTTGCCAGTTCCTCCACTCGAAGTCGCTGTTCCCTTTGATTCTTTGGCAAAGGAAGGCAGTGGCAACAGGTACATTGTAACCCTGGGGTCGTTCCTCAACTGCAAAATGTGCTCGTCAAAGGGAGGCTCATTTGCGCCTGTAGCTGCCACAATTGCACCTGTAAATTTCCTAGCAAGCTCAGTCCACAACTGCTTGTCAGCCTTGATGAGCTGTTCAAGGGTGATGCGTGCATGTCCAGGGGGAGGAGGAGTATTGAGTATGGTCAGCAGCTGGTTAATCCATTTGCTTTGACACTCCCAACTGCTAAGTCGCACTTGATCAAGTGCTAATGCACGCCTCTGCAAACACCATTGGAGTTGCACCGTCGAGGAACAGTCCGCCTCGAAGCTAGCAGCAGGCGATGACAGTTTGAGCGTGTGTTGTTCTAGTTGGACAACTGATGGAAGGTTTTTTGCTCCATGTTGTATCTCCTGGTCACGAGAGGTCGATTTGCTAGGAGCTATCCACAAGACACTGCTTGTTTCAATCATTCCATTGACTGCATCGACCAGGGCATAAGAGGGCTGCAGCTCTCCCTCAATGTCAATGCCAGTCAACCTGCGCTTCTGTTCAGCCAGTCGTGACTGCTTCTCCACAGTTGGAAGCTTCTGCTTCCCTTCATCACCATCTCCAGCAACCTTTTGTTTCAGCTGCGCCACGACTAAGGTGGCTGCTTCGAAGTGTAAGCGCCTGAAGGCACTGTAAACTGCCATATTGTACCCTGCCGGCAGGACTGTGTCTGCAAAGGTACGGAAGGCTTCATCATTCGGCGGACTTTGCGGCGTCCCTGACGAGAAGGCTAATGAACTGAAAGAGGTGATCCCTGCATTGATGATAGATCTTCTTGAAGGCCCATCTGGTATCACTTCATTGAGGCGCTGTTCAAACGCAGCTTCACTATCCACCAACGCCATGTGACCGGTCTACAAAACTAATTGAACTCTGTGAAATTGCTCAACTGAAACATGTGTTATTGAAGCCCCTTGCACAGCAAAAGTGTTGTTTTTCCTGCATTCTGAGATCACTCTAGCCGCCAGCAATGCTAGCAACTCTATGAGCCTGTCTCCAGAATGTCAATTTGTGAAAAACACACTGAAATCGCTTTGACAAAAATTCGACGCGATGCTGAATTATCAAGATGGATTCAAGCGACAATGCACACTCAAAAAGCAGCGTTGTTTTTTGGACATGCACTCGGCTCAGACTACGTTGCACGCTAGCTCAATGCCCAAAACATGCATCACTTGGCGACTGCACATGTCTGAAGCATCAGTGCAAAGAAACTTTGAGGCCCAGGCACTAATAAAAAGATGTGATCACACATCAAGTGAGCTGCTCAGTGCACAACGAGAGAACACTTCGGTTTTCTCCCAAACGCTTGAAGGAAAAATTGTGAAAGCACATTTATTTCAACTGCAAATCAAAATGCTTTACATTGCAACTGACATGCAAGGCTGCCTATTTGTTCTTGAAACATTTCCAGCAAATCCCAGTGTCCCACCTAGGGTTGACGCCTTGGCTGGTATGGAAAGCACCTGGACGACTTCCACACTCGAAGACATGAGGAGTCTTAGAATCTGTCACGTGCAAAGTCTTTGACTCGGTGTGCTGCCAAAGTGTACATCCCTCTGGAGCAACTGGGGGCGCAAACGTCCTGCTTCCCTCCTTTTCAAACGCTGGCTCAGACTGCCATCATCAGACTGCTCACCGTTGGACGTTTCCAAGCATGCATCATTGTCTTTACTTCTGATTCAACCGGAGTGTCAGGTGGAAGACTGCACCGTTGTGAAATTGGAATTAAGTCCCAGGCATTGAGGTCCTGTTCACCGTCGTCGCTTTCCACCTTGACCGTGTCATCCCTGCTAGCAGGTGCAACTTGTTCTGGTTTTTTGTTGGCTTCCACAACCAGTCTTCCACTCCTAGTGCAATCCAGTTTAAAAATACCTTCGCGCATTTCAGTCATCATGTAACTCAAAATCTGTAAGGGCCTGGCCATTCCATCTTGGCTGTGAGTCAAGCACATGGTGAAAGGAGAGGTGTGATACCCCAACAAAAGAATGTCGGACATCTCAACTCCACGCTTTGCTAGGTGTGATAACATCGTGTTTCATTGAATAGCTGGATATCTTTCGAATGTCAATGGCATCCAGTTTCAAGTCAAGAAGGGCCCTGAGCCACTTGCCAGCTTCTTGAGAGTCCAAGGCCCTTTTCCCTGTTTCTCCAGCGTCCATCATCGCTGTTAGCGGAACACGTCCACGATCCATGTTGATGCCCATTTCATCCCTAACTGATTCCCACAACGTTGCCCATTTCTGTGCTGTGACACCCGTAGCAGGAGCAATGAGAGGCAGAAACAGGTGCCTGTGTTGCAGAGCCCTCATGATCTTGTGATGCCCTGTCGACACTGCCACACAGTGTATGTCACCTTCAGCACGATCAAAAAGCATCTGAGTGGCATGTTGTACATCGCTCCTACGCACTCTAGCATACACCATGAACAAGACTGTGCCGCAAAACAACTTGTCCCACTCGTCCGTATCATGCTCCCGTATGTGGCGAAGTTTTTCCACTTCTGAACCTCGAGTGGACTAGCTTGTTTTCTTTGAACAGGTTCATCACTTGTGGTGGTTTCCCAACAACGACGTCCTTTACACAGAAGTTCCATTCCATAGTACACATGGTGTAAATGACAAACGCAATGGTTTCTAAAATGCCTTTGCTCCTCGAAGGTGGTACACCTTGTCGACGCAGTTCACGAAGGACTCCACGAAGCAAGGTCTCACTGCAAGGGAAATCCAAACCACCTTACTCAACATGTTGCACATGAGTTTCATGCTGTTTGAACGTTTGTCGAGCGTGCTTGTAGCTTTGCCTCTGAAAACATCTCCAAGCATGATGAGCTGCGAATTGCTTGAATCGCCTCCCTGTAAGCAAATAACAATCTCAATGTCACATCTCCAGGTCGTGGTTAAAACTAACCAATGTCTCAGTGACTTCAGAAGAAGAGCCATACATTTCTCCTGCCAGGAAAAATTTTCCGTACCTTTGACTCGAGTTTGAAAGTATGGTCCAGATAATACCTGTGGCACGTCAATCTTCTGACGTTCGTCTGTATCTCCAGGCTCACCACCAGAAAAGTCACTCGTGGGCATGGGCCGCTTGAATTGTGGCGCCACAGTATCACCCAAACTGTCATCCCTAAAAAAGCACTTCAAGAAACCAGTGTTCCAAATAGGCTCAACATGTTCTGATGACGAAGAATCCCAGGCAGCTCCAACCACATGTTGAAAATCAACCTTTGCAACATCTGTGCATTCTGTTGTAGACTTCTTACCATCGACCAAAAGGTCAGTAAGAGCAAACGATGCAGAAAGAACTTCTGAACCACCATCAACATCCTTGTCACCAAACAGATCTCCGACAGAGCCCTCGACCGGTGTCAATGCTCCATAATCTACCGAAGCCATGACCCCCAAGCAAATTGCAACCTCTAAGAGGAAACAAATTGGGAGTTCCCACCCACCTCACCCTTAAGCCAGAATATTGCCATAAACAAATATTCCGATGAGAACCTTTCCAAATGGTTTGGAACTGTTTTAAAAATTTTTGGACATAAAATAAATGTCCATTTTGTTTTGGTGCGAGTAAGATATTGTGTTTTTACAGCTAACTCTTTGTTACACAAAGAGTTTTCAAAAATTGGAAATAAGGTTTTTATCCCTCCGGGAGTCAAAAACATGACCGTTTGACAAGTGTTGCAGTAGCCCTACTCCTGAAAGCATCGGCAAAAACACATAAAATCATGTCTTCTCCTGTCAACTGTCCCGATGTGTCCAAAAGTGCCCGGCCAAGCTGTGTATGGGACGGCATTGCAAGGATCAGGTCCCTGAGCCGTCGCATAGCCTTTGCGCGCAACTGGTCATCCGTTTGAGCAAGCCTCACTGTCAGCAGCCTCCTCTTGTGAAAAGGCGTCCTGGACGCTGTTCTCTCTGGCGGCTCAGCTGAGGGTACCAGCCCTTGCAAGCTCTCTCGTTTTCCCACCGTAGGCAAGGACAACCAAGGCATGGGTAAACTAATGGGCCCCTTCTTGAACACCTCTGCAGCAACACCTGTATCCCATGGCATCTTTGGCACTCCCGTGCGCCGCAGCTTCAACATGTTGAAAAAGAGCCTCTTGTCAGGGCCTGTGCCCTTTTGCAAAGCCATGTCTAATGCCTGCCTCTTTCTGGCTGGCTCTGCTGCTACCAGCTCCGAATCGAACTGAACGCCATTAGGGCCATCTGCATGACCTGGCTGTGAATCAGCAATCGAAAAGGCTTTGACATCAAGATGGCCCTCCACTACGCTTCCAGAAAAATCATGCTGAGGTTCCAAAATAACTGCATCTCCAGAAAGACCTGAAGCTTCTGAACCCTCAAAACACTCCGGATTGTCGTAGATAGCATTCCCAAAAGGCACACCTGTATTTGACCTCCATGGCATCTTGCTTGAGTGTTTCTCCCCTGGCAAAAAACAAGCAGAGTGAAATTAAAACCCCAAGTGCAACTGACACTGGTGACGACGATGAGTTGTGCAAGTCCTCACGCAGGTGCACGTCAAAAACTATGGGAAAAATCACAGAAATATTTTCTGTGTAACCCGCCCACCTCATCCCCTGATTTGAGATGTAAAATACAACAAACGAAACATCAAGTATGTCACTTCGGAAAATGATTCAGTAAGACGGTCAGATTTAAAAATTGACACAAACCAGTTTCACCAGATTGTTTCAAGGTTCCAGTTTGTTGGGTTTTTTTTAAACGACCTTGTGCGCTACGTTCCTGCGCTGGGCAGAAAAGACACGGCTTTCATGGTACCCATGATTCACCTACGTCACTTTCATTGAGTGCGCTCTGATGGCACTCGCCCCGCTGCACCCAGCCAAAAGTCTCTTGAGCCATGCCGCTGCCTCACTGGTGCTCAACGGCCTCATGCACCAACCTCCCTCCTGTTTGGGCGCCGGGAGGAGTGGCCCAAATCGCACCTTTTCCCAGTCTGTACCATGGCTGTGACATAGTTCTATGAAAGTTCCCAGCCAGTCGCCATGAACAATTCCTTCTGAAGGAATAACAAGCGGTAGGAATTGCTCCCTTCTGAGGCCTGTCATACTTGTTTTGTGCTCAGCAGTGTAAAGGTCCATTGTTGCATTCCTTTTGTAACCATCATACTTGATATGATGTATGTAACGCAAATCACTCCACCTTGCCCTTGCATAGATGGCACAGAGAAACGCTCCTGCACCTATGCGGTCTATGTCATTTGCGCCCTTGTCCAAGATCTCATGCAAACGTTGTAAGTGCTCCACCTCCAAAGGCGGCGCCTGATTCAAAGGCCCTTTCTCTCTCCTTTCCACTGCTGCAAATCCATTCAGTCTCTTTGATGCAAGAATGTCATCACTTCGGTAGAGTCCCAACACAAACTTGCAAAACCTGATAGTTTCCAGGAATGTCCCGCTGACAGTGTATCCACGTTTTGAAGTCCTTGTCAAAGCCCTAAGATGTAAGAAATATCTCCAAACATCATCTTCTGATAGAGGCAGCGGACAAACGTAAGTGTCTGACTCAAGGCAAGTTTTGTGAAACCAAGCAATGTATTGTTTGAGACTGGAGGCCCGTTTCAAAATGGTTGAACCAGACTTTGTACCAAAAACTGCACGCAACGTCTGTTCAGCAAGGTCTCCAGTTGGGTCTTCCTGCAGGTCTGCTGAAATTTGCTCCCCAACCTGTGATGCCTTCCAATCCAGTGACAAGATTTCCATCCAATGAGATGCTGCCAGGGACATCTGAGCACGTTTCTGATCAATGTAGTCCAAGTCCCTCAAACATTGTACAGCACTCATGTAAGCTGGCTGAGGTGAGGACTGGGTGAGGTCCACAGCACTGACATTTGAAGACTCACGGTTGGGTGTGAAAGAATCTAAATCGGTCATGTCCATGGGTCCAAGCAACATGTCAGGTAGAGGGTCATCACAAAACACTGCTCTCATTGTTCCTGTCTCCCATGGCAAAAGGAGTGATGGGTGATGCTGCAAATTGGTTGCAAAAGAGTGAGCAAGCAGTGAGTTCCACGCAGTTCCACTCAAAACATTTTCGACAGCGTTACCTGTTGAGGGCCCAGCGGCACGTTCTTGAGGCTCAGGCAAATCGAACCCACTGCAAACTCTCTGAAAACCAAAGTCATTCTGTGAACAATCAGAAGCATCATGCATGACGTCAGCATCAGCATCGTGAAAGTTGTCTCCAATCAAATAGTTGCCATCTCAAATGCTAGCTTCATAAGGTTCACTCAAAGTTTCGACATCCCTACCAACATGTTGAGGTTCAGTTTCGAGGTTTGTAACATCAGCTCCAGACGCATTGAAATGCCCATTGGCTTTCTCCATGGCATCAGCTACGAACTAAACCTATGAGACGATCCCGCACACTCCAACCCTTAAGCAAAATGCTGCACACACAAATGACTTTGTTCAAATTCGACAAGACAATTCGATTTTGTTCCAAAAGCTGCATCATATATACTCTCTTCCAAACCCCACTTCTGTGGGGGCATGTTTCAGGGGGATAAGGCCGCACATAGACACTGGCAAACGCAGTATTCAGAAATTCAAGGGCGCTATCTCACTAGATTATGATGATTATGATGAGGATGATGAGGAGGATGAGGAGGATGAGGATGATCATGATCATGATGATGATGATGATGACGACGACGACGATGATGATTTTTGATATATGCTTGAAACCCTAAAGGAAACCCTAATGACTGTATGGCTAATTGTTCCATGGGGGCGGGGATTTTGATATCTTCTTGAAACCTTATAAGAAACCCTAATGAGTGTATGGTTAATTCCATATGATATGTAGAAGCAACATGTCCTGGTTATATTATATGTGTCGAAACAACATGTTCTGGTTAACACCCTAGCAACATAATTGAACATAAAATCCCTTCCGTTGTTTGACGTCGTACCGAGGTCTGCGTGCAGAATTAGCATATGAGAATACGAATGAACACACCACGTTTCATCAAATTGGTGTATCATCAAGCATAACCTCCATGTCAAAAAAAAAACGTCACCCAGAAGGCAACAATTCTGCAATCAAGTATGATAGGTATCAAAGCCTCAACCATTTCAGATGACAATCAAGCCACCCAGCTATTTCAAACACTTGTGTCCTCCAACATTTTTCAAGAAATCAGGGGCCCATCACACTAAACATCCAATCATATCCAGCCGCTGGTGGCTTCAGAACTATTCCCACCCGTGGCACCCATGGCACCTGCAGTTGCTTTCCAGGGGCCTAAGACCACAGCTGGACATTGAATTAAGTTGATCCTGACTTTGGCGAAGGAATGCTCAAAGACAGTGTGCTGTATGAATAGTGCGTGTATTCCATATTGTCATGCTGCATCAGTTTGTTCTATTATGGTTTCATTTTATAAACTATCGATCTATACACATACATACCACACCCACACACACCCACATACACACATACATATACATATATATATACATACACACACACCGTTATATATGTATACACAGTATCTGTGCAATACACATTTGGATACACCTACACATCATGTCCTTCAATGCTGGTTTTCTGCCAAGACAGCCATGTGAGAAATTGCCAAAACCAATTCATAAACTCCCCCCCCATTCGGCTGAAGTTAGGGAAAGTCTACAGCTGGCCATGTTGCCCATATGTCAATCATGTTTCTCCTCTTTACGGTTGAAATTTTGTATAAACCGCCGTAACATGACTGCCACCGTGCATATCAATGATTCCCATTTGCCCTCCTTCCCCCGCTTGCCTCACTGCAGTACCTGGGCGACATGTTTTTTCGAAAAATCCCATCCCCCCAAGAATGGCCCTCCATGTATGGGACAACAATATAAACAAATTAGTAAAACAGTGAACACGGATGAATGTCCCCATGATTTCGAAAACGAACAAATTTTATCAAATTTCTAGATGTTCGAGCTGGCAGCCAGCAAGATATACCAGGGGAATTGTGAATGCTCAAAATACTTGGGTGTGGGTTAAACCATCGGAAAATGCGATGCTTTCCTGCAAACTGATCAGAGATTCCCTTGGACGGAATGTATGCTGTTAAATCGTGGTTAAAATGAAGTTACTCACTATTGGATTTTAAGGTTGCATATCTTGAGACAAACCCATGCACTTGCACCTGACATCACCTGACCGTGCAAAAAACCTCATTATAAGCCTAGTCAGGAGTGGAATGGCATGGTGGTACATTGAAACAACCAGAAAGAAGAGTGATCGGACTCCAACAGAGAAAAATTGGTACAGAGGCCCACGTTTTAGTAAATCGTTACTCACTTTCACAATACCCCAAATTTGACGGCCCAGAAGGGCCACCAGGTTCCGCACAGCAACTTCAGGAGAAGTTCCAGCTCAAAGCCTTGCATTTGCGGAACAACCCACTACTCCAACACCCGGAGCTAAGTAGGAAAATGAATCTATGCCAAGGGATCGAAATGGTTTTCCGAGAGGGCGATTGGTCTCACCACAGGGATACCAATTGGCGAATTTTCTGCAACTATCCCAATGAATCAACCAAATTGATCAAGCCTCAAGGGACATTCATCGCTATCATTTTTTATGCTCACATCCTGAGGATTCGGACAGGAGACTTTCTCTGAGTTTTTAAAATTGGCCTCAGATCTGGTTGGTTGTTGTTGTCAAAACGCAATTTTTGGTTGGTCAAATCCCGATTGTTGATTGTTAAATCTTTACTTTTGTTGTTAAATCGCAAAATGTCCTCATTTTATGTGTATCCCAGTCCCTGAATCGCCACACCCCACAACAAAAATCACAAAAAAAAACGCTCCCTAGACTAGCTGCACCATAGGTTCGCATCATACAGACTCTCCAGCCGAAGCCTTCGGTTTTCTTCTGCACATGTGAATGTACACATGTATATGTATATGTATATGTATATGTGTATACTATGAGGAGAAAATCCAATGGAACTCAAGAAAACCAATACACCAGAACGAAGGCCATAAAAGAAAACGCTGCCCCTCCTTTCAACATGAGTCCTCGTGTTGTCGTTCTTGTGTCGTGGTTGTTGTTCAACACAAGTCGCAAAAAAAAAGACTAGATTAGTTTCGCCATAGCTTCGCCTTATACTCACCACAACAAAAGTCAGAGAAAAAAACACCCCCTAGATTAGTTTCGCCATAGTTTCGCCGTATACATACACACCACAACAATATGTGTATGTTTGTGCTCGTCCCTTTGCAAGGATAGGACTTCATAAATCAAGTAAACTCGTATTGCAACAAACAATTATAAAAATCATCATATATATAAAAAAACATATATATAAAACATATAAATCAAAACGAAACGACGTTCGCAATCCTGACGTAACCAAAAGTTTGCAATCCGCAGCGGTCATTGATATTTCTTTTTGTTCGGCTCAAATTATTTGAGTCGGGGGTGAAACAGCACAAACACAAGTCAGGTGTTTGGAAATTCTCATATGGGTCAACAAGTCATGTCGCCCGTCACCCCCCAAGACAAGGGAGGGAAAACGAAGTTTGGGAGGGGAAGGAAAAATTTCAAACGGGTCAACGTGCAACCCACCCTCCTCACCCTAGCCAAAATAACACGGAACAAAATTCAAGATGTGTCCAAATGAGACCAAGGTGAAAATCAGCATCTGAAAATTAAACAGATGAGAAAACTCGTAAACATCAAACAAGTGACAAGTACAGGTTTACGAGAAACAGAACACAAAACAGAAACGTTGTAAATACAAGTTGTCTCAAGTAAAGTTTGTGTTCATTCATTTTTTTTTTGCATGCGGTTCGTTCGCGCGCTCACTACTCGCAACAAACAAAGGCAACAACAAGTTGAAGCCAACCGTTTGTGCTCGTCCCTTTGCAAGGATAGGACTTCATAAATCAAGTAAACTCGTATTGCAACAAACAATTATAAAAATCATCATATATATAAAAAAACATATATATAAAACATACAAATCAAAACGAAACGACGTTCGCAATCCTGACGTAACCAAAAGTTTGCAATCCGCAGCGGTCATTGATATTTCTTTTTGTTCGGCTCAAATTATTTGAGTCGGGGGTGAAACAGCACAAACACAAGTCAGGTGTTTGGAAATTCTCATATGGGTCAACAAGTCATGTCGCCCGTCACCCCCGTGTTTTCGACATGCTAGGATCTTCTTTGTTGGTAATTTCTGCTATTGTTTCCTGAGGCAAGAGAATGTCACCGGCCAGGCTGCCTCCCGTGATATGCTGACATTCTTTCAGTTTGAACCTTGATGGCAAGTCGGCAATGTTGGATTCCGATGCCACCCTTTCGTACCATGAAGCTGATGGGTATTCGGCTTCAATATGAGACACTGCTCTGCACAAGTTATACATTGTCAAAGACGGGCTTGACCCTTTGATAAGGCAGTATCGGGCAGCCTCGTTGTCAACGAAAAATAAAGCTGATGCATTGGCAAGTTCACGACGGTAGTAATACTTCACGAGCAAAACTGCGAGAAGTTCAATTTGACATATCTTCTGTTGAAGACCCAGTGATGTCCAGTGTTGCATGAGGCCAGCGTCCACTACGCCCCAGTGAATAGCATTGACTCCCAGCTGCGGTATCATGACAACCGCTCCCCAAGTACCATGTTCCTTTTCAAGTGCGCCATCTGTGTATATCACCGCAGGGAAGTCATTGCTCAAGTATCGTATCTGGCGTGGTCTCATTCTGTTGATGATTTCGGCAGTGTCACGGCAAAGACGTGAAATGAAAGCGGCATCTGTTGAACCACCTTGCATGCTCCCAAATTGTCTGGAGGCTGGCTTTAAACAACGTCCCACAACAAATCCACCTGCATAGTTCAGAAGTCCATGCATTGTAGCCGCCTCCGAGGTTGATA